TGCTTGATTCGTGCTGGATCCAAAGCTGTGACTAATAGAGAAGCAAGATCTGATGGTGCGCTACTGCTGCGAGCCCCGCCAACGTATGCTCAGGTTGTGCAGATGTGTAAATAAAACCATATACACTAAAGACACCACAGTCTCCTCTGACCTTCATTCCAAGAAAACCAAACCTGCGATCCCTGGAGTCTCTCACCTCACAGAGATTTAAGGGCTGCACACATTCTTCTTTTCCATTTCAACTGGGGTGCAGGCTTCCTCATCCTGGTACAGCACGCTCCCACAACACACAATTGCTGCCTTTTATACTCCCGTAATTAGAAGATAATGGAAACTATTTTAAAGCCTGCTGCATCAAGACGTCTCTTGAGGGCCATGCTAGATGTAATGTCATGACATCATTGATTGAATCTCCCGTGTTTAAAAATAAGATAAGAAACCGAAAGCAGTTGGTGGGAGGTCAACTCAAGATGACGGTGCTGTGGGAACAGGAGTGAAATCTCCCCCCCCCCTTAACCCACTCCCACCCACTGCGGAGCTGTTATTTGGCCTACAGCAGAGGTTTTCAACCTTTTTGAGTCCCTGGGTCCCTTGACCAACTACATTCTTTCTGCAGCACCGCTGTGGGGCTCAGGAGCCCAGTTATGTCTCCCCTTGCCTGCAGAGCTGGCAGCCTCTCACCCTTTTTCGAACACCCTCACTTGTGGAATATTCCCTCAGCTTCCTCTCCCTTCTCCTTGAGAGTCATCCGGGCAGCTGCTGCTGCCATCCCTGGTCTCTCCCCCCTCGCCCCAAAGAGAGGTGCCTCTCAGAGGCACCATTCACCTGCGGAGCTTATAGCCAGGGCTGCTGCAATAAACAGTTTTGCAAGCCTTTGGGAGGCAGAGATGCGAGACGCCATCGGGGGGGGGGAATAGGGACAGAGGCCAGTGTCGCCCATGGCACCCTGACCACCATTCAAGGCACCCCACTGGTTGAAAACCTCTGGCCTACAGGGATGTACTCAGGAGCAGGAGAAGTTGCCTTATAATGAGTCAACTGTTGGTCCATCTAGTTCACTATTGGATGAACTTGCAGCCATGGCTCTCCAGGATGACAGACTGGGTACGTTCCCAGATCAAATGTACGAATCCCCTATGAAAGGTTGCAGTGTTTAGGAATTCTTAGAGGAGATTAAGAGGTGATGTGTTAGAAGCTTATATAGCTATGCATGGTATGAGAAAGAGGATAGAGAAAGTTTCTGTCCCTCTCTCATACAACCAGAATTCAGGGCCATCCAACTGAAGTTGGATGTTGGACAATTCAGGGCAAATAGGAGAAAGTATTCATTCACGCAAGCACAAAGGTAAACCATGGAACTCGCTCCCACAGGAGGCAGTGATGGCTCCCCAACTTAGATGGCTTTAGAAGAGCATTGGACAAATCCATTAAGGAGAAGACTATCTATCCATGGCTACTAGCCATGATGGCCATGCTCAGCCTCCACTGTTGGAGGCAGCAATGCTTCTCTGTATGCCAGCTGCTAGAAACCACAGGAGGAGAGAGTGCCCTTGCTGGTTTCTCTCTGGGGCATCTGACTGGCCACTGTGAGAAAAGGTTGCTGGACAACATGAGCCCTCTTTTGGCCCGACCGAGCAAGCTCTTCTTAGGTTGTCAGCCCTTTTCAGAGCAGACCTATTGAAATTAACAGACGTGACTAATGTAGGTCCATTCATTCCAATGGGTCCACTCTGAGTAAAGCTTTGCAGGCTACAGCCCATTATTATTTAAAATTTTTTTTAATAAAACCAGAAGGGAGAACTGATCACAGACATCTGGGTGTCACACCTTCATCAGTCCTAACTCTGGGACCTTTGGAATCTGACAAGCACCTTGTGCAATCCATCCTGCAAGCCACTCATGACTACAATATATCCACAAGCTGACCTAGTTTGGCCAAAACTAGACACAGGCTTTTCCTGAATTGAGAGGGCTCCTGCATAGACAGAAGCAGGTACGGAAATTTGACTCTCTGCCGTTTTTATCAATTGGAACTACATCATTCCCTGGCGAAGGTTGCCACCAAGTGGCTGAGAGTTTGGAAAACACTGGGGGTTTTTTCAGGTTAGAGATGCACAAACACATTTCTTAAATTACTGTAGTCAAATTGCTGTTTCTGAAACTTCAGAGAGCCAAATTGGAGGCACATTTTCTTGTTCCATTTGAAGAAGTTTTGCTCAGAGTAGAAGGTGGGAAACATCCAGCCCAGAGTTTTCTCAACCCCTTCTCCACAGCCCTGCTCCATGGCCTGTTAAGTATAATTGGTTTAACTCACACTGAAATGAGAATGGCTAAAAGAGTTTTGCTAACATGGTGTGTGTTTTCCCCCCACAGCAGTTTCCTGCGTGTTACAAATTCACCATGTTTGAAGGGTTGTGGCTGGTTCTTTGGTTTCTCTGAAACTCTGTGAAGGTGTAAATGAAGCTCTCCAGGAAAACAGCTCCAGGCAAAATGGATGCTGAAAGAGAGAGACCTTTTCTTATAGGTCTGTTTGGATTATTTCATATTTAACAACAACAATTTTATTATTTGTACACTGCCCATCTGACTGGGTTGCCCCAGCCATTTTTGGCGGCTTCCAGCATATATAAAAACATAAAAAATATTACCCATTCTATAATGCTGAGCCTGTGCTAGACAGCACAAGAGACTGTATGGATATTTTGGGTGTATCTTTGATGCTTGTGGTTTTTCAAGAAAGTTCTGTGTGTCAAAGTTAAATATTTTTATGGGTCTGGACAATGTTTATTTCCAAGAGGGGTGAGTTTTTATGCATCCAGTCTCTTCAACCTGCACAATATTGATATCTCCAAACTGGCCTATTTGAATGTTTTTGCCAGAGTAAACAAAATTGGGTTTGCTGAGCCAATGGCCTAACTCAGTTTTTTTGGGTTTTTTAAAAGCAGCTTTATGTGTTCATTTGTTTTTCCTTTCTTGTTAGGCTTGGTATTAACTGTGGAGAGTAAAGGTAAAGGTAAAGGGACCCCTGACCATTAGGTCCAGTCGTGACCGACTCTGGGGTTGCAGCGCTCATCTTGCTTTATTGGCCGAGGGAGCCGGCGTACAGCTTCTGGGTCATGTGGCCAGCATGACTAAGCCGCTTCTGGCGAACCAGAGCAATGCATGGAAACACCGTTTACCTTCCTGCCGGAGTGGTACCTATTTATCTTCTTGCACTTTGACGTGCTTTCAAACTGCTAGGTTAGCAGGAGCAGGGACTGAGAAATGGGAGCTCACCCCGTAGCGGGGATTTGAACCACAGACCTTCTGATCAGCAAGTCCTAGGCTCTTTGGCTTAACCCACAGCGCCAACCACTGTGGAGGGTAGCAAGCTGCAAATGAGGCCAGCAAAGGCTATTGTGTGTTTAGCTTTTAATTTCCGCAGATGCAGCTACCTCCCTACAGTACTGTGACATGAGAAGGTTCACCTGCCAATATTCCCTCTTCAGAGCTGAAGACACAGGAGCCTTTTCTCCTTTCTATATGGTCTCCTTAGTTACACAAGATATTTAACCTATGTAACCAGGGAGCAGTTGTTCATGCAGAACAATTGGATCATTTTAATTCCAGAATATGGTCCCCTACAAAAAAAGAGGGAGAGGCAGTATGCCAAGTGGGTGGACAGCAAATAGCAGAATAGCAACAAATATCCATGGCTGAGAAAACATGGAAACGGAAGTGCAAAACAAGTACAGGGAAGAACCAGGCATTTGTGACTTCTTATACTGAGTCAGATCATTGCCCTGTCTAGCTCAGTATTGCCTACACTGGCTGGCAGCAGTTCTCCAGGGTTTCAGTAAGGGTTCTCTCCCAGCCCTAACTGAAGATGCCTTTGGGGATAACCTTCTGCATGCCAAGCAGGTGCTCTGCGATTATTTTTTGTTCTGGAAGGAGAGGGCACCTGCTGCTTCATCCCACCTGTTATCAGAAAAAACTGCTCCTTTTCCCTTATTGGGTATCCAAGAGCCCGTATAGAGTCATTAAGTAGGTTCCCTATCGGAAGGAGAAAATAACAGAGGCCAGCCAGAGAATACTGAGAAGTAAAGCAGCTAGTAAGCTTGATCTTTATTAACTGTTGCAACAGGGTGCTCACTCCCACATGCAGGAGGCAGGAGGGACCCAGAACAATGGCGTGCAAGCCCTTATATAGACTTTTGAAGTTGCCCACCCTGTAGCCAGAGACCACCCCCAAAAAAATCATGCATACATCACAGAAACAGGCGGTCTACAACAAAAATCCTGTCTGCCAGAATACCTGATAATAGTCACTGAATACCGGATAATAGTCAGGCATTACCTGGACAGCCCATTCTTTTGTGATGGTAAATACTTTAGTTCCTGAATCCAGGTCACAGGCTCACCCTATTCATACAGACATATGCCCTTAAGACAGGTAAGCAAAAGACAATGGAGAGGCTTTCCCATTTCCATCCTCCTTGCAGAGAAATATTTGAGGTTACTGTGAGAGTCAAAATGGTTTGGGAGAGTCAAAATGACTCTAGGATTGTTCTCCTGTACTATTTCAGACACGTGGCTTATATACTTATGTATGTGTTTGCCTCGTACATTTATGAACGCTTGTTTTATATGTGGGACCTTAGAATTCTTATAGCACACCTAGCCTAAAACCTAGGATTTCTCACTAGCAGGCTAGTCTTTGTGAAACGTGAGATTCAGATCGTGTCTCTCTATACTTTTTGTGGCTCTGTGTTTCCTGTATCGTCACCAGACATCACGGTTGCCCTCGAAAAAGATGTCCGTTCTTTCCTCAGTGTGACCTCCTGAAGTCCTGGTTTCGTCGTTAATAGTAGTAAAAGAAAGACGGACGGCGAGGGTAAGGCGGCATCTCTATAAGTTCTGAGTGGGGTGAAACACAGAAGAGACTGGAGACGCTTGATTTTTGTCTCTGAGCCCTAAACAAAGATGGCGATGATCTCGCTTTCCTGGGGGCGGAGTGACGCAGCGCACAGAATAAAATGGCGGCCGTGACTTCTGAAGGAGCCCGAATATTGATCTTGGTTGGCTGTTTTCCCTGCGGGGAGGCTGCGGAAGTAGCTCTGCGTGCCGCCGGAAGTTGGTGATGGTGCCTGGCGGACCTGACCTGGTTGCGGACAGACCTTCTTCTCCATGCGGGCCGGGAGTGTGAGTCGAAGGTGGAGGTTCTGCTCCACCCTGATTTGCATATGCTAATATATATTGATACATTTAAATAGTTGCAGGTTGGCGGTGGCCGTTAGGGATGCTTCACCATAGAGGGCTGCCCGTTGTGCGTATGCTAATTTATGCAAATAATTGTCACGTGTTTGTGTGAATTGGTCGCCGGGTTAGTAATAAACAGGTTTTGTTTCATGTGTTCTTATTGCATCGTTTCCCTAAATATCTCAAGGTGATCACATGGGTGACCCCTCTCCCAATGAAGGGTTCTCACAACACCCCTGTGAGGTAGGCTTAACCAAGAGAAAATGGCTCAAGATCAGCCAGAGTGTCAGTGGCTGAAGGGGAATTTGAACCCAGGCCTTATGGCGTCCAAGTCCAATTATTGTGTTGCTGTCTCTTTAAGTCCACCACTCCATTCTAATAAGATTTCAGGATTTTCATATGGGCTTAACTTGGATAGATAGATCTGTTATATTTGCTTTGCAGAATCTTAGATTTCTTTGTAAGAGCTTGGTGTAGAGATGATGGTTAGTAAGAAAAAAATTATTTTGTCATTGATATCCCATCAGTCCTTCCAAATTGCTCTGAGGGGCATATGGAATTCTCTCTCCTTTCATCCTCTCAACAACCCTACAAGGCTGAGAGGGACTGGCCCAGAATTACCCGGTGAGCATCATTGCTGAGCTGGGTGGGATTTGAGCCTGAGAGTCGAGTAATAGTTTCCTATCTCTGTTCTGGGCTAACTGAAACTCATTTTTCTGTTTATTATCAATTTGATGTGGAGGTTTGAGTCTCTGGCTTTTTTTTTTTTTCTAAACAGGGTCCTTCACGCAAAGCAACTGACAAACGTCCTTCAAAGAAGCTAAAATGTGAAAAGAAAAGCCTGGCCAAACGGGAGATACAAGGAGTCGATTTCTGTGCAGGCACGAGCCACCTTCTCTTCCCAAAAGAGACAGCCGATAAAGCCGCCTCAGGCGTGAAGTTTCCACACCTCAAGATGATGCTGCAAAGCGAAGGGAAGGAGGTTCCTCAGACAGCTGAAGAGATGCTGGAGGCTGAAGATGATGGCCTCTGCGTGAAGCCATCAGCGCCAGGTACAGATGGCAAAGCCCTCTTCCAGCCCCGTGTCCAGAATGTGGAGGAAGAGAATGAGGAAGAAGAAGAGGAAGAGGAAAGCTGTGGAACTCGGTTGTCGGATGACTCTGAGATGGAGCCAGAGGTGCTGAGTCAAGGCTTCAAGTTGGACAACAGCATTTTCTTGAACGAGGACAGCAACCAGCCACTGCCGGTAGACCGATTCTTTGGCAGTGTGGCGTTTATGCAGGTAGGGGAAGGGGGTCAGCAGAAGGAAGTTTGGGGTTATGGCTGCAACCCAAATCCCACTCATTTAGGAGTAAGCCCTCGTATTATTATTTATTATTATTTTATTAAACGTATGTCCTGCCCATAAGAAACCAGAAAGAAAATGTTTTTAAAAATAAAAACATTTAAAAACAGTCACATAGTCATCACAGCTAATAATTTCAAGGGTGCCCAAAAGATATGTCTTTATAGGACTTCTGGGACAACTAATAAATTTGGATGAGGGAGCTTTTTGGCTCCTTATTAGGATCTAGCTTCATGAGCTAAATTTTAAGTTGCCCCCCATCATTCACTTGACTGCTCCCTTTTTTATGGAAATGGGTGCTTTATGTTGGCTTGACACTGAAGGGCTGAGGGAGACATAAAGTGGTGTTCAATGCTAGTCCTACTTGAAGTAGTTCCATTGAATGGTTATCTTGTTGTTGTTTAGTTATGTCCGACTCTTTGTGACCCCATGGACCAGAGCACACCAGGCACTCCTGTCTTCCACTGCCTCCCGCAGTTTGGTCAAACTCATGCTGGTAGCTTCGAGAACACTGTCCAAACATCTCATCCTCTGTCGTCCCCTTCTCCTCATGCCCTCAATCTTTCCCAACATCAGGGTCTTTTTCAGGGAGTCTTCTCTTCTCATGAGGTGGCCAAAGTATTGGAGCCTCAGCTTCAGGATCTGTCCTTCCAGTGAGCACTCAGGGCTGATTTCCTTAAAAATGGATAGGTTTGATCTTCTTGCAGTCCATGGGACTCTCAAGAGTCTCCTCCAGCACCATAATTCAAAAGCATCAATTCTTCGGCGATCAGCCTTCTTTATGGTCCAGTTCTCACTTCCATACATCACTACTGGGAAAACCACAGCTTTAACTATACGGACCTTTGTCAGCAAGGTGATGTCTCTGCTTTTTAAGATGCTGTCTAGGTTTGTCACTGCTTTTCTCCCAAGAAGCAGGCGTCTTTTAATTTTGTGACTGCTGTCACCATTTGCAGTGATCATGGAGCCCAAAGAAAGTGAAATCTCTCACTGCTTCCATTTCTTCCCCTTCTATTTGCCAGGAGGTGATGGGACCAGTGGCCATGATCTTAGTTTTTTTTATGTTGAGCTTCAGACCATATCTTGCGCTCTCCTCTTTCACCCTCATTAAAAGGTTCTTTAATTCCTCCTCACTTTCTGCCATCAAGGTTGTGTCATCTGCATATCTTAGGTTAATTAATTTCAGTGGATCTACTCATGACTATGACGTAGCTGAATACAACCAAGAATAGATAATTATTTTCTTGTCTTTCTATAAATGTTGTTGAATTATTAAGTTTTTGGGGTTTTTTGCCTGGTCCTCATAAACCAGCAGAATGAAAGAGATAACAAACAGTTTCCTTGCAGTTCAGCAGCTTGTAGCTCCATTTCTAACTTTTATTTTTCTTAGGAAATTAAAAAGTAAATTCAGTTTGTAATCATTGGCTGAATAAATTGCATTTTTGGTATATCAAACACGATAATTTAATGGCAAACCAATTTATACATTTTAATACATTTTATGTTCCTAAAGTAACAAAGTGACTTTTGATCCATTAAGGGTGCTAAAAAAATGCATATATATTTTTCAATCCTCCCCCCCAAAATTTCCCAGGGAGGGGGAGAATGGAGGGGGAACAGTTCTTTTCCACAGCTTCACAATTTCCAGAAGCTTTACATGTCTAATCAGTTGTCCCGGGTGTTCATGCGTTCTAGGAATAATTAACATGGTACCTTCCTGATGCTGTTGGGCTACAGTTCCCATGATCCCATGCTGGCTGAGGCTGATGGGAGCTGGAGTCACACAGGGCCCCGAGTGGTCTGTCTGAAGCAACCTTGGCCCATGCATTAAGACTGCTCTTGGCTTGTTCCTTTCCTAGGACCTCCCAGCCCATCCTCTCTCCCGGGTGTCTGCCAGCAGGCGAGAGCTGAGAAAGGGACACTTCATAGCCAAGGACGATGACGACGATGAAAAGGAAGAAGTCGCTTGAGCACCGAGCACTGACCCGGTCACCTTCAGTAGCTGCCATTTCTTTTTCCCTGACGCAAATGTGCATCTCACCACCGCTGTTGCATCTTCTAGAGAAGTGCATCTTCTTTTCTGAAAAAGTTAACCCTCCCAGTTCTGATGTTGGAGGCAAAGTCACAGACTGCGTGCGAGGCAAAGGCAGAAAGTCAGCAGAAAGTTTTGACAGCACTTGTTACGAACAACTCCTGACTCCCAGAAGGGGAGAAGAGCAAAGAGTTCCCAGAAGCAGCATGTGTGGGGGAAACAAGTCAGTATCTTGATTCCTGTGAGAATGCAAGCTTGGAAGGTGGGAGTTGTGGGGTCACTTCGCAACTTCCTGCAGGCTCTTAGACCTCAGGGGTCGCTCCAGCAAGCTTGGGAGGAGGGTTTGCAGGATCTCTCGGGCACAGTGAGAGATGCTAGCTCCAGTATGAATGACTATCCCCTCCAGCCTCCTTTTCCAAAGAGGTAACGATCCACTTTGCCTACAGTATTTCTTGCACTGCTGATCACCCAGGTTGCGAGGCAGCGGCCTGGAACGGCAGAAGCTTAGTAGAGAACTAATTAAAAACAATTTATAGAGCCCTTAAGTTGTGGTAGTTCATGTTGCAAAGCGGCTGATGCCAGAGAAGAGAAATCTCTCTGGATTTTGTTGCTCCTAATGAACGGAAGACTGTCGGGTAGTTCCCAAATGACAGTGTTATTTGTGTTGGCAGGATTTTATTTAATTTTTATTGCACATGAGGAAAACACAGCATGGAGGAGCAGTGCAGAAATTGAGGAGCCACAGGGCTAAGCTGGGCAGCGGGGGGGGGGGGGCGTTTACCAAATTTTCTACCTCAGGGAAGCTTCTACCCCATTTGATCTGCCATAGAAGCCTAGACTATTGCAGAGGATTTTGAGAAATAATAGAAGAGCCCTGGTGGATAATAGATGTGTCATCTATTCTAATCCAGCCTTCCAGATGTTGTGAGCTCTATAAATTCCCAGTAACCACCCAGCAAGGGATCAGGGATGATGGGAATTGTAGTCCAACAGTTAGAGGCAACAGGCTGGGGAAGGCTGCTCTGTTCAAACGTCTTACAACAGCAAGTTGGGTGCCTCCAAATGGGCATCTGGAAATGACGGCATTCTCACAGTTTAGCTCCTCTTAGTCGCCTTAGCTAATTACAGCTGATAATCCTCTCCTCCACTAATCTGTCTAGCTCTTTATAGTAAGTTAGGCTAACCTGCATCCCTCCAGATGTTCCTGGACTCAAAGCATACTTGACAATTGGTTGTACAAACAAGCTAAATTGGGAGCTGGAGTCTCAACATTTGGAGGGCTTTAGGGTATCCTCCCCTGATTTAGAGTCAAATTGAAAGGAAGCCACCTGTTTCCTGCCCCCCCTCCTTAAAAGTAATTGGGAGGTATTTTATTTACTGTGTTTATAGCCCAGATTCTTCTCCAAAGAGCTTGAGGTGGTGTACATGGTTCTCCCCCTCCTTATTCAATCTCCACAACAGCCTTGTGAGGTAGGTTAGCCTGAGAGGCAGCGACTGGCCCAAGGTCAGCCAGAGGGGCCAAGTGGGGATTTTGACCCCGGTCGCTCTAAGCATTATCCCACACAGCTTAGAGAACCAGTTGTCTGTGTGACATCACACTGCTCATTGCATTAATCCCTGTTCTCCTTTCTATTTCCATGGCTAGCAACCAACATTTTGCATGTGATACACTTCTGGTGTCCTGGACTTGTTGGACGCAAAGGAATGGTGGGAGGAACCAGCTGGGGAATCCCCAAGGGAAGAAGGCTCAGAGCCAGGGGATTGGTGGGACAACAATGAGGAAGAAGACTGGGAGGAGGAGGTTCGGAAGCTGAAGAGGTAATAGGGCTTGGCGTGAAGGGGAAGTTGGTGAGGGGGGAGCATACAGTTGTCCTAAATGTGTAGGACTTGTTTCTGAACAGACATGCTTAGGACTCTACTAGACAGGAGAGCTAGATATGCTACAGAAATAAAATCAGGGCTTTACAGGCTCTGGGCTTGAAATGAAGGATTCCAGCATATGTGATTGGTTTCTTATTTTTCATGTTCCATTCTGCAGTACTGCAGGATAAGCCAGGCTGAAAATGGCACAGAAAACATAAGGCAGTGAAGCCATTTTCTGTTTCTACTACTTGATTTAGGGCTTCCCCGCGCTTTGCATGGTGGAACTTCCGCCACACCGAGTACTCATATAGGTAAACAGTGAGCCTTCCATTTAAACATTGCAAAATCCCCATAGGATGTGAAGAAGAATCCATTGTTTGACTTGGGTGACGGCATGGGCCCTGGCCAATAGGCACCCACATCAGGGAAATCAATGGAGTCGTCAGCATTCGAGAGTTCAAAAATGTGTGCCCTTCCTCCTGATGGAGACGGGCACGTGGAACTGAGGTCAAGGGCCAAGAAGGCATTGGGACTCCGCAAAATAAACGCTCGTCTGCCAGACCACCCACCCAAGTGCTCAGGAAAAAGTTACATCAACCCACAACTTAGAAGTCAGTCCCTTGGCAAATGGGGGGGGGTCACTTCCGGATCTTGTGGACCCCTTTCCGTTTTCGGTAGATCTTGCTCTTGTCACAGCTGAGGTTGTGGTAGGCTTTCTTGTGGCAGGCAATATGCACCAGTTTCAGATTATGGACAGTAAACAGCAGCTGGTAGAAGTACTCCCAGTTCACTTCCCTACCGTCTCGACCCTTTACAGCTTCTGCTAACGTCGGGAGGACCGTCCGCTTCTTCTCGATTCTGAAACAGAAAGCAAGCCCTATGGATGTTAATATCTAGAGCCTTTTTCAGAATTTGGAAACAAATGTTTCCTGGGGACCCAAGGCAGTGCAAGTTCTGTGCAAACCCAGGGGAAATGGCAGAATTCTGAGTCCTAAATCTCAGGGCTCAGGGCTGTTGCTTTTCAAGTTCATTTTAAAGTAACGCCCATTGCCCCACCCAGCATTGTAATGTGGCCCCCAGAAGGCTGCCTGCTTAGCAGCACAGTCCCTGGGCTGGAATAGGTTGTCCAACCTCAAACTAAGAAGAAATCAGTCTGCCTTCCGGTGCCTTTTGCCTTTCCAAAACAGCAGGAAATGCCCGTTCAGATATTGCACTTGTACCTACACATGGTCGAGGTTCCAGGTGCTAAAGAGGACTCTGCTCTCTTTGTTCCCATACGGATTGATAGAGTGTTGGCTAGGGCAGTTTTCTGCATCAAAAGGGCCCTGCGGAAAGACGGCAGCATGAAAGAATAATACAGTAATGTTATTATTTATACCCTCCTCATCTGGCTGGGTTTCCCCAGCCACTCTGGGCAGCTTACAGCATATCCAAAAACATAATAAAAACATCAAACCAAATAAAAACCGAAGCTGAGAGTTCATGGGGAAAGGGAATACATAAATTTACATAAAAATAAACAAGTTTTAGTAAATCTCTGCAAGGGGACAGGGTGTCATGGAATGAGGATCACAGCTCCCTCCTGTGCCCTTGTGAAGCAGGTTAGGCTGAGAGGCAGCAACTCTCAGCAAGCTTTGAGGCCGAGTGGAGGAATCTGAACCCTGGTCTCCCGAGTCCTAAATCCTAAGGCAGTGGTTTTCAATCACTGCGCTTTGGCACCCTGGGGTGCCTTGAATGATGCTCAGGGGTACCACAGGTAACACTGGCTTCTGAACCCCTTCCCTCCCTCCTGGTGCCCTCTTGCATCTCTGCCTCCCAAAGGCTTGCACAGCTGCTTGTTGCAGCCCTGGCTACAAGCTCCACAGGTGAATGGTGCCTCTGGGGCCTTGGAGCAAGCAAACAAGCAGGTGAGGGAGCCCACCCAGCCAATCCGCCAGCCCTTGCTGTTGGGAATGGACAGACAAGTCCCAGGCCCCTGTGGGGCACTGGGAGGAGGTACTTCTCTTTGAGGGGACAGCTAAGAGACCAGGCACAGTGGCGGCAGCTGCCCAGAGGACTCCCAAGAAGAGGGGAGAGGAAAGGAGGCCGAGGGAACGCTCCACAAGGGAGGGTGTTTGAAAAAGGGTGAGAGGCTGCCAGCTCTGCAGGCAAGATGTGACATAACTGGGCTTCTGAGCCCCACAGGGTTGCCACAGAATGTCGGTGGTGAAGGGAGACGTGGACTCAAAAAAGTTTTAAACCTCTGCTCTAAGAAATGCAATTGAGAACTAAGCCAGTTGGGACACTGCAAGGGCCTATCCAGCTCTGCCCAGCCCTACAAAGGGAAGCTCGGAAGCCAGGTTTCAATCAGAGGCTGAAGAGAGAATCCTGCCAAGGGTAGCACCTGCTCTGTCTCCATCTCTGTCCCACTCACGCTGCTGCCATCGGAGGTTTACCTCTTGCCCGCCATGGATTCCCTTCCCACTCTTCTGAACTGTTTCAGTTGCTGCTTCTGAAACACCATCCTTGCCTGTCCCTGCCTTGGACCCCAAAGAACTAGGACCTCATTTCCCCCAGACATGGGGGTCTGAAGCCCACCAGAACCTGTGAAAAGGGGTCCTTAAGGGGTATGGCTTGAGCATGCGGGTGAATCTGCTGACCTCATCAGAAGTCTAGGCAGCTGGCCCAGAGGTCAGAACCCCTGGATGTTGGTGGCCAGTGTTTTTCTTGGTTGGTTTGGAACGCTATATTGGAGTGGAGAACATGTGGTCCTCCAAGCCTCTCCATCTGGCCCCCTGATTTCTGCCTAGGCAACACCCCTCTGGAGTCCTGCTCTGCACCTTCCTTGGGTGTTTTTGTCTGGCTGAATTGTGCCCTTGAACTCTGATAAGGCCTCTTGCTTGCCTGGATGGAGGGGGAAGGGGGAAGTCTAGCCTACTAGTACACGGCCCCCCGAAGGTAACTTAGGAGGGAGTGTGGCCCTCTGCCTGGAAACTGTTCCCCATCCCTGCCCTGTGTCTGTTAGAACTCTTTTTTTGAAGACAACCAGGTACGGACACACAGTTTTGCAACACCAGAAACTAGTTTGAAACTTACTTGACAAGAGAACCAGCCTTCTGGCGTGCAAAGGCAGACCTTCTTGTCTTCTCTTCTGTCAAAATAACAGCCATTGTACCTCTCTGACTTTAATTTCAACAGCATCTCTTCCGCAATCTCTTTGAATTTAGCTTGGACGGCCGGGTGGAGTGCGGAAGCATAGTTGCCGACCTTTATTTAAAACAAAACAAACAAACAAAGCTGTGGCGTATTCATGTATTTGAGGATTCCTACCCTATGTTTTGGCTGACTGGGTCTTCAAGGTGGCTCACAAATGCATTGGGTGTTATTCAACTAAGTTTTCCTCAGAGGTGACCCATTGAAATGAATGGGTCCAGTTTAGTCATGTTCATTCACTACACTGAGGCTGCTCTGAGTACAACTAAGCTGAGTGGAATCCACTAACCAAAAGAAAAATGTAGATGAAAATGTAAGATGGGTAGCTAACCCTCTGCCCCCAAAATCTTCAAAAAAAGTTTTTTTGTGCCACATAAGACCCCCTCAGACTTGTGATTTTAAACATTTGTGTGTGTAATCAGACAGTCCTGTGTCCAGTAGGGTCCCCTACTGTGTAACTCCCCAGCAACTTGCCATTTATAATCATTATAATACTGTTTAAATATGACCTTTAAAACTTTTACTAGCTGCTTCCACATGGCCCTCACAGTGATAACTGATGCATCTAAAAGGTGAACTATGGGCTGCATCAAACATGCATTACCTCTTTCATGTAACCTCGGATCCTGCTCTCACAGCTGTAGCGCATGTAACTGGACTTCGTCTTAAAGCGAGATTCAACCCCTAGGAGAGAGGGGGGAAACCCCATTAACCTTCTACCCGCATCTATAAAACAGGCCCTTCTTCTGAAAGCAGTTCTGAAGCCTTTTTAATACCCAAGGTGTGGGGCGAAGAACCCCTATTTGATCTTACTCCTGTACAGGCAGTGTGGTGTAGTGGTTAGAGTCCCAGATTATGTATTTCAGGCCTGAGTATTTCAGGCCTTTGGCTCAAGATCATGTCACTATCTCTGCATGAGCTGAGATTGGGAGGTGTGCAGGAATCAATGCTTTGTGTTGGGCTTTCTCTTCCAAGGGGTTTTGGACACACCCAAAACAGACTCCCTTGCAAGGTAGTAGACTCTCCTTCCTTGGAGGTTTTTAAAGAGAGGTTGGGTGGCCATCTGTCAGGGATTCTTTAGTTGTGATTCTTACGTCGCAGGGGGTTGAACTAGATGAGCCTTGGGGTGCCGCCCAACTCTGTGATTATATGAAACGTTTAATGTTTAGCAAAGAATAAGAAGAAAAATACAACCTTCCTTAAGGGGCGTGTCGGCACCGAGGCAGAGCTCACCTTCGAACCATCTCCCGTCTTCCTCTCTGCTTTCCCCTGAAATATTTTCACTGAGAGTCTGAATGAGGTCAGCCAGCAGCTTCCGTCTCTTGGGGGCTTCCTCATCAGAGAGCAGCCCCTGCGCTGCGCGAATAACATCGTCTGTTCGGCTGGAAAATGCATCAAGAAACCGCTGGATCTCGCTCACATCTGCAAGATTGTTAGAGTGGGGGGAGGGTGTGTGCAAAACTATTCAGGGTTGCTTGTTCCTGCTTTAATCAAGATAATATTTTACATTATTATTAATGGTTGTGAAAATAATCAGTAATTAGCATTAATTTTTAATCAGTATTAACAGCAATAATGAAACGCTTAACATTTTCAAAAAGCTCTCAAGCATTCAAAGCATTTGCAATATCTGACTAATCTGAATGCATCAAACCTGGATTTATCTGAGTCAACATGGTTATATTTGTGTTGTGACCAATTACAGTAATTCATGAAAGGAAGGGAAGAAAGAGAAAATTTCTACTTCATAGAAAATGTGCATGCTCACCAACAACGGAAATTTCCCAGTTGACAATATTATTTCATAATTTATTAATTTCATACAACGCTATGTGATATTTGTTGGCTGGGTTATGTGCATACACTCAAAATGCATGAGGACGGTGGATGTTTTCAGGCAGCAGAATAGAAGAAAACTCCCTGCCCTACTCACAGCCATGCCAGCTCTCTCCTGGGGGTAGCAAGATGAGTTCCGAATGATCTGGAATATGCTGAAAATAACCTTCCGTCACCTCTGTGCCATCCTCATATAAGCACAGCCGGCAGTCGGTGTAAGGGACCTGTTGGGAAGGTGACACAAGGCACATGGAGTCAGGGCAGCCGTCACAAGACACAGGAAGATTCCCCCGCCAGCCCTCTCCCCAGACCAACTTTTATTCTTTTCTTATATTTATATCCCGCCTTTCGTCCGCCATAGAAGCCAAGGTGGTGTGTATGTGGTCTCCCACATACTCAGTCCCCAACCTGCTTAGCTTCCGCAAGGAGGTGGCCTCATCCTAGCCAGAGCACTGGGGTTTTGTTCAGATGCCACCCTAAACCATAGTTTGCTTGCTCTAAACCAGTGTTTCCCAAACTTGGGTCCCCAGCTTTTGTGGACTACAATTCCCATCATCCCTGACCACTGGTCCTGCTAGCTAGGGATGATGGGAGTTGTAGTCCAAAAACTGTGGAGACCCAAGTTTGGGGGAAAACTACCCCGCTTCACTGGATTAAAGAAGGGAGTATGACCCTCGGATTCCCTTCCAACTCCAGTTCTGTGATTCTATTAACAAGCAACTTGAGCACCTGCAGTTGCTCAGCGGCGCCAGCAGGGGCCGCTGCTTGCACTTGATTTCCGCGGCGGTCCTAAAGCCCGCTGCATACCCAACCAACTCAACTGCACCTGCAGGAAGGCGCAGGCCTTGGAGAGCAACTCCTTCAGGCTTCTTGCCGCCACTCCGAATTTTCGATCGCTGCCGAGGCTACGGATTTTGAACGCTTTGGGTGCCATCGCGCCGCAGGCGGGGCCCGAACCCACAGGTCCTGCCTTCCGGGTTCCGGCCCCGAAAGGAGCGGAGCTCTGATTAGTCGAGAGAAGTGCTTGTCAAGCGTTAGGACCCGCCTCTGTCCTCACTTAAAGGAATACGAGATTATTTTTATTGGTCAACATCGATCCGCGACCGATAAGAAAAGGTTTAAGGAAATGATTAATAGTCTACTTTGAGGACAATGCTACCTTAGCACCAAATACAGTACTTCCTTATCTAAGCTGACAAGTCTGTTTTATTCGTTTTCTTTAAGCCGCATGCGCAAAAGGGTCTTTCCCGCCTCAATAAAAACGGCCGGGCTTGGTCATTCCCAATGCGCATGCTCACTCCTTTGCCGCAAGCTTTCGCCATGTTAGCTGAAGGAGTAGTGCAGCCCTTCAACGCATGCGTGGAAATGTATTTTGGGCATGATCAAAAGCTCCGCCCCCAGCTGGTCAAAGAGATAGAAAATATTAGAGTCGTACTGCCAAGTATACTTTCTCGGAGCTTTTAAATGCAATGCGCGGGCTGGGTTATGGAGGCTCCTTATGAATTACTTCATCCCAAAGTCAAAAAATATTTATTGTAGGTCCCCCATCACCACTACATTTTTTTTTGTTCACACAACAACCCCGTGAGTTAGATCAGCCTGAGAAGTAATGCATTGACTGTCCAGTGTATATCATTCTTCCCTAGAGGGCAGAGGAGGAGGGGGAGGTTGGTGTAAAGATCAAGTGTCAACATCAGATGGGATTTGGCCCCTGTGATGACAAGTGCTGGAGAAGAGGGGCCACTGGCTTGATCCAGCAGGCTCTCTCTTTTTTTGTTTCTATGTTGACAACGAACACCCATACCAAAGCACTAGAGCATGTTTTGCACTTAAAATGTCTCAGAGAATATCATTGCTGCTGCTTGAGAAACATGTATAAAATTGAGCAGGTTTAAGAGCAGACAGCTAATAACTCAGGTCCCTATTAATTTGATATCGATAGCTGGTTGCTATTTAAATTTGCTGCCACTGAAAATGTTACTTTCCTTACGTAGTATCTGGGGCTTGATTTCTCCCCATTCCTTCCCCTCCAGCAAAAGGTGGGGGCAGGGAATAATCAGGCGGACTTCTGCTAGATTAGTATACAGTATTTTTTTTAGCCTGAGTCCTTGCTCTGAAGCAAGGATTGTCTCCAAAACTGAAGCCTTTCGTGTATGTGTGAATGTGTGCGTGTGTTGATCGTTAGACTGTGTACACCCTTAGAAATTCGATTAAAAAATAAATAAATAGCGGGATATAAATGGTTCTAAATAAATAAAATGAGTACATTACCATAACTGATTTTATTATTATTATTATTATTATTATTATTATTATTATTATTATTATTATTATTATTTCTGTGTTCCCGCAGCACCTTCCTCTACCTAACAGTGCAGGGGCGGAAAGGGTGCGAAGCAGTAGAGAGGCGAATGGGCAGAGCGTCGCCGCGCTAAAGAGAGCGAGACCGCGCTTGCTGGCGGCCCAATGGCCGCGTGCCATTGTTTTTCACCGGAACTTCCGTTTGGCGCGTCAGCTTCCTCGGATAGCCTTGATCTCTTTTTAGTCTCCGCCCCGCCGCTCGGCTCGCGCCTGCGCAGTAGCGTCCAAGTGGTTGCTAGGAGAGCAGTGGCCCTAGTGATGGAGCCGGAATAAAGTAGGTAGGAAGAATGGAAGAGAGAGAGAAAGAAAGAAAGAGACAAAGCGAAGAGGGGCGGGGAGGGAAGGCCGCGCCTCTTGTTCCCCTTAGGGGCCCCTCCCTTTGGGGGAGGGGGAGGAAGGTGTCGGCCCCTCCCTCATCCTTAGGTGGGGGTGGGGGTGGGAGGCGACCATAATAGAGGGTTGGGGGTGAAATGTGCGTGGGCATTTATATATTTATTTCATTGCATTTATATCCCACATTTTTCCCTCCAAGGAGCTCAAGGTTTCCCCCCTCCTCATTTAGTCCCCACAACAACCCTGCGAGGTAGGCTTGGCTGAGAGGCAGTGGCTAAGTGCCCAGGGCAACATCCAGGGAGCTTCATGCACAGCCAATGAATGAGTGGGGATTTGAACCCGGGCTTATGGGTCTCCTTTCCCCCCTGCTATCCCCACAGCAGCCTTGTGAGGTGGGTTAGGCTGAGAGGCAGCAACTGCCTCCTCACCAAGGTTACCATGGGAGCTTCATGGCCAAGTGTGGAGATTTGAATCCTGGTCTCTCCCAGGTCCTAGTCCGACACTCTAGCCACTACGCCACACTGCCTCATGGTTTATGCCTTCCTGGCATGTTTCAACATTATTTGCCTCTCAGAAATGCAAAATGCAGCTCACAGGTTAAGAACTTATGATACTCGTATACAGTGGTACCTCAGGTTAAGTACTTAATTCGTTCTGGAGGTCTGTTCTTAACCTGAATGTTCTTAACCTGAAGCACCACTTTAGCTAATGGGGCCTCCCGCTGCCGCCACGCTGCCAGAGCCTGATTTCTGTTCTCATCTGAAGCAAAGTTCTTAACCTGAAGTACTATTTCTGGGTTAGCGGAGTCTGTAACCTGAAGCGTATGTAACCCGAGGTACCACTGTACTGGGTGGGCAAGTCATATAAGAGCCTGTGGCTCCCCAGATGCTGTTGGACTCCAGCAGTCAACATGACCAAAGTGATGGAACAATATCTGGGGGAGGTCACAGATGTTTATCATCCGTGCTCCATGGCAAGTTATTTCCAATCAATCTGGAAATCCAGAAGCCACGTTTTGTACCCTGAGGAACTTTTTATTTTAAAACATATTCAGGTTTTACATTGTTAGCCCATGGAACTGTCTACCCACAAGATCTGGCTTTGAGGGTCAGTTGACTATGCTGTATTCTTTATTAGTTTATCTAAACATTCATAAGAATGTAAGATGAACCTTGCCGAGTCAGAGCAAAGGCTCATCTAATTCAGCATCCCACTGCCCAAATTGGCTAGCCTGATGCTTCCTGATAGCCTGCAAGCTTGTATTGTGCTTCTGAGATTCTGAGAGGCAACTGGTTGACCAAAGTGCTTGACCATGTGGACCTTTGGTCTCATCTGGCAGTGGTGCTCTTGCATTCTTAACTTGCAGAATATAATCTCAAACTTCAATTTTTAAAAATCCATAATTTTGCATGTCTTACCCTAAAAGAATGTAGAATTGTTATTAAGAAAATAAGAAGAGCCTGCTGGATCAGGCCAATGACACATCTAGTCCAGCATCCTGATCTCACAGATGCCTGTAAGAAACCTGCAAGCAGGACCTAGCACAAGAGCACTCTCCTGTGGTTTCTAGCAGCTAGGGTTCAGAGGCATGGTGCCTCTGACAGTGACAGCAAAGCATAGCCCTAATAGCTGGTAGCCATTCATAATATTTCGTAGACTTCTCCTCTGTAAGTTTTATCTTATATTTTAAATCCACCCACATGTCAGTGGCTACCTCTGCCTCCTGTGGAAGCAAGCTCCGTAGTTTGTAACTACGCGATGTGTGAAGAACTTTTCTTTGATCTGACCTGAATTTTCCAGCATTCAGCTTCATTGGATGCTCCTGAGTTCTAGTGTTACGGGAGAAGGAGGGCGGGGGAATCTCTAACCACTTTCTCCGAGCCATGCAAAAATACTTATAATTATAAAGCATCTTCCTTTTTTCCCCAGTTAGTTCAAGAGGGCAGGATGCCGCACAAGATTGGGTTTATTGTTGTAAGTTCATCAGGGCATGAGGATGGCTTCAGTGCGAAAGAACTGATGGTCCACGCCCCAACCATCAATGGCTGGAGGTCACCAAGGTACTGTAAGTGACAGAAATTTTAGGAAGCACTTTGCCAGGTTTAGCGTTGTCAGGCTTGTGGGTTGCATGCGGTTTCCCTGGCACCTCTAGATGGGGCCTTGCTAGAATCCTGAGGCCCTCGCCTTTGATTTTAAGAGCGTAGTTTCTGTCCATCACAGTTGAACTGCATGGGGGGGAGGGAATGATTACTTAGGAGCCGGGAACATAAGAACTTTGGCTTGGGGTGCTGAAGCGCTTGGGACGTTTCTTTCATTCCAGGCTCTGCCAGTATCCCCAAGAAATCGTCCTTCAGATGGTGGAGCGATGTAGGATTCGAAAACTGCAGTTGCTGGCTCACCAGTACATGATTTCTAGCAAGATTGAATTCTACATCAGCGAGAACCTGCCTGAATATTTTGCACCATACAAATCAGAGAGGTTCCGAAGGCTTGGGTAAGTCTCCCCTCTCTGCAAAATGAGCCAGGCCTCAGTTCCTCATTTGCTTGGGGCAAGCAAGTTGTTTCTTAAGGTAGAGGAGTTGGTGAGCTTCTACTGGGCAGAAGCAGCAGGGACACTGCATGGATTCTTACAGGGTTTTCTAATAAGCCATGTCCATTCAGGGGATCAGTGTTTCTTGCACAGCCCAAGTAAGCCCATGGAAGCACACACAAGCTCACACAAGTTAGTTCCATTTTCTTCACTCTTGGTTTAGGGTTCTGATCACAAGGCAGGTGTCGGGGGGACCATCTGGATTCAGGATAAGAAGCCTTTCTAGAAGGGCTGTACCATATGGAGCAAGTTTGTTTTCTGCTGCTGTTAATTTCAGGCACATCTTTTTTCAGAGAATAAAGTCTTAGACTCACCGTGTTTTGATTTTGGGGCGCACAATGCACATGTCAGTACCAGGATGTCTGTCCTTGATGCTTTAAATGTGATCGCGTATAATATGTCTTTTTTTCCCTCCACTGTGATCGCGTATAATATTGTCTTTTTTTCCCCTCCACCCACCCCTTGCAGTTATGTGTCTCTCTCAAATAATGAGAAAACTGGCTACAAGGCGCGAGAACTGAAATCCGTCTACGTAGATGCTGTTGGCCAATACCTAAAGTTGACGTTCCACAAAAACTATGTCAATAGGTACAACCTGTACAGTCAGGTAAAATGAACCAAAAGGCCGAGGGGGTACTTCATGTTTTACTCGTCTTTCTGAAAAATGAATCTCTACCCAAGGAAGGCACAGCTTTTGAAGTAGCTGTGAGGTTTCTATTTCTCTGTTTGGGGGCCAATTGCTGTTTTGTTTGCAGATCCCAGCTTTTCTGCACAGCTCTCATGGCTAATGCTTGCCCTCATGCAAGGCCTCCACCCAACCTCTTTTCAGCAAGACATGCTTGACCCATTGAGTGTTGTCTGACTAAAAGTGCACTGCCTTGCACACTTACCTGGAAGTAAACCCCACTGAATACAGTGGGGTTTATTTTTGAGTAAACATCCGCAGGATTGCATGGGAAACCCCACCTGCCTGTTGCCCACTCCAAAATCTGTGATGAGGTCTTCAGTGTGGAGGATCACATGGGGTCACAACACCTGAGATGGCGACTTTTGCAGAACTAGTTTTTAAAATACTGGCAGCCAGTCTTTCAAAGGACTCAGGACTTCTCTTCAGATTTTAGGAGTTCAGTGTTGTCATTATGAAAAAGCATGATGGTGCTATTTCGCTATTCAAATCCATGGCAATACAGTGGATGCTCGGGCTGCGAACGTGATCCGTGCGGGAAGCACGTTCACAACCCGCAGCATTCGCAACCCGCAGCGGTGCGTCTGTGCACGCGCTGGTCACGATTTGGCACTTATGTGCAAAGCGCGATTTAGCGCTTCTGCGCATGCGCAAGCACCAAAACCTGGAAGTAACCCGTTCCAGTACTTCCAGGTTCGGTGCGGTGCACAACCCGAAGCGTCTGTAACCCGACTGCGTGACTGTAAATAAAACACACAATAGCACTCAGCCTCCCTTTTGTCTAGATTATCTCTCACCAGCAGGCTGTGTGCTTTTATTGTGTACAGTTCTATTGTTGAGGGCCTTGGATGTAAGCTTTGCAAAAGGATGAGAAAGGAACTGTAATAACATCAAGTCAATACACTGAGGAATGCATTGGGGGAGAAAGAAATGACTTTTAGCTGTCGGGGAACAAAAACTGAAAATGCTTTGGGAATTCTAATAGTACGAGGAAGAATGAAAGAAGGCATTTCTACATCTCCAGCATCCTTGCGTCTCAGAATCAAGGGTGCTGGAAATGCAGTGTGTTCGATCCAGAGATTCTGAGGTTGTGGCCAATGATTATTATCCAGCAACATCTGTCAGGTCACAGATTCCCCAGCCATGTCCTAAAGGAATCTTAAGACCCAGGGGTTGGATACTCAGTGGTGGAGCATCTGCTTTCCATGCAGAAGGTCCCAGTTTCAATTCACCAATATTTCCAGGTAGGGCTAGCAAAGACCCCCTACTGCCAGCCTGTGTAGGTAGAGCTGAGCCATGTAAACCAGATTGCTATCTTCTGGGGGCGGGGCTCTTTGCCCTATTGCAAAACCAGACAAAAATGTGCAAAATAGGTAAAAATAGCAGGAATAGGCCCAAATTGCATTGATTATTTATGTCACAGCACTGAGCTTTCCCTGCTGCAGAATTTCACTTCTTTTAAAAGGCATAGAAGGAAGCCTGCCCATTTTTTCCTTTTCCTTTTAGGTTGCTCTTGTAGCAATAAATATCATTGGAGAGCCTGCAGATGCCAGCAATGACACTAATCATGTAAGTATATGAAGTAATGAGCTGAGGGAAACCCTGGACCACCTTTACCTTTGGTTAGGGGGGTGGTTCAGTCATAATGCCAAGCCAGTCCTGGTTTCCGGTCCTGGTTTTTAGAGGGCGGGTGCAAGCTGCAGTCTGCTGGTTCAGACAAAGAGCAAAACCGTGGTACACCTCAGATCAGGATTGGTTGCTGGGAATCGCAACCTGATAGGTTCCTCCTCTCGTTATTCATGTAACGAAAGCAAATGAGAGAGAGCCTATGGACAGGGATTCAAGGCAGCTTACAGCTGAAGTAGAAACAGCTAAAAACATAGGGGAAAAGCAATAATTTTAAAAAGTAAAGATTAATAGAATATATGTATACAGGATCTAATTATATCATACATAGTGTTAGAAGGGTACCACTTGCCATTCCTGGATGTAGGCTTGATTGTGATTTGTGGGATGCCCCCTGACTTTTATCTTTCCGAAGTCTTCTAGAGAGAAGCTGATCGACCATTACCTTGGGAACAACCCAGATGACTCGGCCTTGGATGGAACATACACCGGGTAAGGATGAGGAAGAGCCACAGCTCAGTAGTACAGCAGAAGGTCCCAAGTTCAAGTTGAAAGCTTTTCTATTCTGCCAGCCTCTTCAGGCAGAAAAGAGTTCATCCTTCCACAACGGTTTATTGATGCTTGTTTTTAAAAAACTTCTTTTTGCTTTTAAGTTGTTCTTAGCTTTTTAAAATGCTTTTATTGTTTGGTTTTAATCTTTTAATGTTTTAAACCACTTTGATTTTTTTTATGATTTAAAGGTAAAGGGTAAAGGGACCCCTGACCATTAGGTCCAGTCGTTACTGACTCTGGGGTTGCGGCGCTCATCTCGCTTTATTGGACGAGGGAGCCAGCATTTGTCCGCAGACAGTTTCCGGGTCATGTGGCCAGCATGACTAAGCCACTTCTGGCGAACCAGAGCAGCACACGGAAACGCCGTTTACCTTCCCGCTGGAGCAGTACCTACCGTATTTTTCGCCCTATAGGACGCACCTTTTCCCCTCCAAAAATGAAGGGGAAATCTGGGTGCGTCCTATGGGGCGAATGCAGGCTTTCGCTGAAGCTTGGAGAGCGAGAGGGGTCGGTGTGCACCGAACTCTCTCGCTCTCCAGGCTTCAGGAAGACATCCGCAGCCTAGGCAGCCCTGCGGGAGGTCCCGCAGGGCTGTCTAGGCTGCGGATAGCAGCCTGCTTCCCGGAGCGTCAGGCGCCCTGAAAGCAGAGCGCCCGGCGTTTCGGGAACACCTCCGCAGCCTAGGCAGCCCTGCGGGAGGTCCCGCAGGGATGTCTAGGCTGCGGATAGCAGCCTGCTTCCTGGAGCGCCGGGCGCCCTGAAAGCAGAGCGCCCAGCGCTTCGGGAACACATCCGCAGCCTAGGCAGCCCTGCAGGGAGGTTCCGCAGGGCTGTCTAGGCTGCGGATAGCAGCCTGCCGCCCAGCGGGCGGGGCGCCCTGAAGCAGAGCACCCCGCCCGCTGGACAGACATCCGCAGCGTGGGGAGCCCTGCAGGAGTTCCCCGCAGGGCTCCCCACGCTGCGGATAGCAGCCTGCCGCCCGGCGCGCGAAGCACCCTGAAGCAGAGCGCCCCGCCCGCTGGACAGACATCCGCAGCGTGGGGAGCCCTGCAGGAGTTCCCCGCAGGGCTCCCCACGCTGCGGATAGCAGCCTGCCGCCCGGCGCGCGGGGCGCCCTGAAGCAGGGCGCCCCTCGCGCAGTGCAGACATCGGCCAGCCCCACAAGCTCGGGGCACAGCAGGGAGGCGCAGTGCCGCCATCCCGCTGTTCCTTGACCTGGTTCAGTTTCCCCAACCTGCTTTTGGGGGGAAATAAAGGGGAAAAAATTCCCTTTATTTCCCCCCCAAAAAAACTAGGTGCGTCCTATGGGACGGAGCGTCCTATGGGACGAAAAATACGGTATTTATCTACTTGCACTTTGTGCTTTCGAACTGCTAAGTTGGCAGGAGCTGGGACCGAGCAACGGGAGCTCACCCCATCGCAGGGATTCGAACTGCCGACCTTCTGATCGGCAAGTCCTAGGTGCTGTGGTTTAACCCACAGCGCCACCTGCATCCCCTTTTATGATTTAACAGTACATAAATACATTTTAAAATATATAAATAATAACCCATCAACTCCAGGTCGGGCTGGAAGAAACTTATTGCCTGAATCCTGGGAGAGCCTCTGTCAGTCAGTGAAGGACCAGTGGTCTGGCTCGGAAACATAGGAAGCTGCCTTACACTGTGTCCTAGCTGTCAGCCAGAATTTCATTTCCCCCATCCCCTTGCAAATAATAAAATAAAATAAAATCCTGTGTCTTAAACAGCTCCCCTAAGTCCCTGTTATCCCTCTCCTTCCCAGGAAGCCAGATTTGATTTCACCACTGGATGACCTGGCTTTTGACATGTACCAAGATCCTGAGGTGGCGCAGATAATCCGCAAGCTGGATGAGAAAAAGCACGAAGCAGTGCGCCAGGAGCATTACGACCATGCCAAGAAACTCAAGCAAGCTATTGCAGACCTGCAGAAGGTAGGGCCAGAGCACGGTAGGGAAGGGCCACACACAGCCAACTGATTTCATTATTTGCAGCAGAGGTTTTTGCGGAGTGTCAGCAGTTACTCGTAATCACACACATTTCCCTGCTCGCTGAGGATTGCGTACCCTGTGCCTGATGAAGAGCACAAGTGGCCCTGCAGAAGTTGTTGCACAACTCCCGTCCTCAACCCTGACTGTTGGCCATGCTGACCAGGGCTGATGGCAGTTGGAGCCCAACAACCTCTGGAGGAACCAAAGGTTCCTCACCTCTGCCAAAAATAAATCAGTTGGTTCCACTGGGCTCTTTGCCCTCCTTGTTTAGACGCAGCACCCATAAACTAATAAAAGCAACTGCCAAACGAGCCCTTTTCCCCTCAGGCCCTCCACATTCATTTCTTCCTCTTTAAAAAAGCATTTTTTCCTTCACCTGTAGAGTTTATGCAGGAGGGATGAAGAGGCAATTATGCCCCAGAACCTTCCTGTGCTAGGAGTTTCAGCCTCCTTGGAAGGTGGGCCAAGAAACAGAGTTGCATTAAGTCAGAGTAGACCTGTTGGAATGAATGGATATGACCAACTTAGGTCCATTAGTTTCAAGGGGCCTTCATTCATCCTACTCATAGAAGACCCTTTGAAACTAATGGACCTAAGTTGGTCATATCCATTCATTCCAGCAGGTCTACTCTGACTTAATGCAGGATGCAACCTGGAGTTTGAGAACATTCTTCCGGAAGGATTTTCAAGATGGGGACCTTTCCTTCTTTTCTCTCTAAAGATCTGAAATATCAAATCTAGGAGAGAAGGATATTATTTCTGTTTAGGGAGCTGACTCTTTTTTTCAAGCCTGGAGGGACCAAGAAGATGTATCTGAAGGAAACTACAAAAGAGCCCGCCAGCTCTCTCTTAACACCAGCATGACAGTAAGAGAAGAAGGTTCTGCAACTTCCTTGTCTCTTCTTGGCTTTGGGATAAGCTGTGTCCACTGCAGAGAATTCGCAAGCCCATTGTTCCATTCCAGGCTCCAGCAGTGACCTCTGAGCTCCCCCTTCTTCCAGGTTGGCGAGCGGCTGGGCCGCTACGAAGTGGAGAAGCGCTGCGCCGTCGAGCGGGAGGACTATGACCTCGCCAAGCAGAAGAAGCAGCAGATGGAGGAGTACCGCCTCAAAGTGTACCAGCAGCTGGAGCTGCACAATCTCCTCGACCCAGATCTGTTGGTGAGCAACGTCCCTGGCAGGACACGACAGGGACGAGATTGACCTTCCCCAGCTCTTCCTGCCATGCAGTTCAGAAGTATTGAGGGAGGTTTGGGATTAGGGTATAGAGGAGCCGTCACTGAAGTCAGCTCCCATTGCAGCAAAGCTTTACTGTATGTTGAGATGCGATATAACAGGGATGGCCCCAGTAATTTCATTGTCCCCGAGAGGGGGCAATGACAATAAAGATATTATTATTATTATACTGTTGGACTCCCAGCTCCCATGACCAGTGGCCAGGAATGATGGGGTGAGTTATCGTCCCAGGACATCTGGAAGTGTCTCCCACAATTGCTGCATGGCAAAATCTCTCTTGATGCACTTTTCTTCTCCCTCTCGTTCTCTCAGATCCGGCGGCCTCCCGACTTGCCTCTGGAACCTGTGGCTTATCCCACCACTTCTCCCCAGCAGAAAAGGCCTCTGATTTCACCCCGGTGGGACAAAACCGAAGCGGAGAGTCCTGAGCCGCCTCCTCCTGAAAAGCCACCAGAAGCTCCTTCTCCAGAGCCCCTTGCAGCTCAGGCCATCTCTCCTCCCGCTGCCCAGGCCCCCATCTCCACTGAGGCTTTTCCAAAGATCAACGTAAGCCTAGTTTTCCATGTGTCCTGCAGATTAACGCCCTTCTGCACACAGCTGACACTGGATATTTCTGTGGCCTCTTTTTTGCCTTCCTGCTTTGTTCTGAGGGCAGAGAGCAATTGTGCCTGCTTTCAGTTCAGCTGGGCTCATTGGTTGCAGTTTCTGTAAACCATCTAAGGCTGGGGATCCCTTTGGGCTGCTGAATGCTTCCCAATTGAGGAGTAGCGATGCCTTCAGAGTCAGAAAAATAACACAGGAATTGTAGGAAGTACGTAGCTTGGGCAGAAAAGTTTATCATCCTAGAGAAGGCAAAGGCAGCCATGCTTGGTCCTTTGTTTTCAGAGGATAGGTCTAAGTGACTTCTCGTCTTGAGGTCTGAGAGAACAGGGTGAGGAGGAAGTTGCAAAACAGGAAGCAACCTAAGATGTATGAGTTCAAATAACAAAGCAATAGAGAAGTCAGCATAGAGATGAAGGTACAGGGAAAGTCTGGGAAGCTGGAGGTCCCTCACTCTATCTGTCTTAACCCCATTTCCTGAATTGGACCCAATTTTCCAACATTTTTTTGCAAGGGGGATGTTGCAGCAGATCACCATTTTTGTACTAGTTCTCCCATGGCTAGTGAACCAAGTGAAGGGCTACAGCTGAGTGACGGAGCATCTGCTCTGCATGCAGAAAGCCCCAGGCTCAGTCCTCAATGGCATCAAGTAGGGCTTCGAATGTCCCCTGCCTGAAAGACTGGAGAGCTGCTGCCAGTCAGTGTATACAGTACGGAGCTAGTACTTTTTAAAAAACAGCGTTGTCTTTCTTTCTCTATCTCTCTTGCTAGGTTGAATTCTTACCTTACGATGAGAGGCCCCTCCCGACTATTCGTAAGCAGCAGGAGGAAGGCTTTCCCTACTTGGACCCTGAGATGAACGAGGAGGACCCTGGCGACACCCCAAGAAGTGGCGTTGTCGGAGAGCCAGAGCCGCTGACCGAGAAAGCTCTGAGGGAGGCCAGCTCAGCCATTGAAGTGTTTGGGGAAGGCCTGGTAAAGACCTCATAAACGTAGCTTAGTAATGGCAGGGCTAGCGCATTACTTTCATGTACAAAGAGTACCCTTGCACATTGCAGGATGGAGCCCTGGATGAGTGGTGCAATTCAAGAAAATTGAATTGAAAATTGTTTCTATTTCAGCCAAAATCAGCTACTCAAGCCTCTTTGTCTGGCTTCTGGGGCTCTTTCCAGCCCTATACAGGTAACCTGGGGGGTGGCACTGAGAGTCAACCCTGCTCCTAGCTGCATAAACTTATCCTGGGTTTTGTTCCTCAGCCACGCCAGCGTGTGGTATTTATTTATTTATATGCTGCCTTTCGGCCAAGAAAGACATCCCAAGAGAGCTCACAAGCAATATAAATGCAAATGCAAACCTACCAGTCAAAATATAGTGCAATACCATAAAAATCAAACTAAATCGTAACATTTCAGAAGCGTTAACATGTGTTCATTTTCCTGCCATAAAGGCAGCAGAGTAAAAAAAGTGGAGCAAAAAAAGTGGAGAGCAAGAATAAGAACTTAAGCAGCAGTGCCTCCTTTAAAGGGTTCTAGGCAGGGGAGTGGGGCAAGGCAGGTGGAATCACTTGCCCCTGGTGGCTGCAGCCGTCTCTCCCCTGCAGCAGTACTGGCCAGGCTCTTCCAGATGAAAGAATGACAGGTGTCGGCTTTTGTGCAGATCTGGGCTGTTCCAGCTCCTGAACATTCCCCTTTTGCCAGGTTGCAGGGGCCTATTCCAAGACATGGTCCTACCGCGAAGACTCGTTGCTCGCCATATACAAAAAGATGACGGAAGTATCCACAAACACGCCAAAGGATGACCTGAAGAACCTCCTTCGGGGCGCCATCTTCCTCATAGTGAGAGCCATAAAAGACATAGTCTCCTCGGTGAGCAATATCGGGGGGGGGGCGGGTCTAACATCCCTGTGAATGCCCTCTTCTATATCTCCTAAATGAGAATGTGTGGGAACTCAGCGGCGGGGCCCAGTGACTCCCAGTTTCAGATGGTTGTAAAGGTTTCCACACGCAGCAGCCCCATGCAATTGAAATTTCTCTCCCTCTTGACCACAGTTCCTATTTTAACCACTTTGGTGGTTTCCTTCTGGTAGGTTTTTCAAGCTTCCTTAAAGCTCCTAAAGATGATCATCACGCAGTACATCCCCAAGCATAAACTTGGGAAGCAAGAGACCACTTACTGCGTGGAAAGGACCTTCCCCAACCTTCTCTCCAGGACGGGGGACTCCTCTGCCCGCCTTCGTGTAGCGGCTGCCAACTTCATCCAGGTCAGTCTAGTCAATACACAAAGACTTGCAGCTGCATGCAAGTGTTTGCCTGAACACATGACATTCAAGGTTCATGCATTGATCACTTCAGCTGCATTACTGCAATGCACTCTCTGGGGGGCTTCACTTGCGCATGATCTGGAAGCTGCAAGTTAGTGCAGAATGCTGTGGCGTGATTGCTGACAGGTATGGAACAACTGTGTGTATGTCACTACAAAATACTCCTTTTCTTTGTGTAGGTCTGAAGTAAAACCTGTAAGGCTCAAACCACTGCTCAATCTTGCAGGGCTTGGGAGGGCAGTTCTCAGTTTTGCTGAGTCGTGCCTTTGTGGGCCGCACATTAACCGCTGACCCAAGTGTGCCATGTCTTCTCCATCTCCCCCCAGGAAATGGCCCTCTGTAACGAAGTGAAGCCTCTTCAGATTATACCTGCTCACCTGGTGCAGCCTGTGAAGCCAAATTCCCCTACACATCTTGCAATGAGCCAGGTGGAATTAGTGGAACGCTTGCTGAAAGACCTAGGGACGGATAACACCGGTTTTACCGTCGATAACGTCATGCGGGTAAGGAGCTGAGCTTCCAGTGGTTTCTGAATCTGTCTAAGACGGCTTCCTGCATTCCTAATGAAGCCGCTTGCTCTAGGTACAGCACAAACTCTGCAATTGTGCTTATACATCCATACCCCACTCTCCTTCTTTCTCAGTAAAATCACTTAGAAAAACTTCTTTGGAGGTGGGAGGTGTGTTGTCGATGTTGCAGGCATTAGCCACTAGCACCCTGCACAGCCAGCTTTTTTCTAACACACAGGAAACCTGTAGAACCCAGTTTTCCCCGTTTGTTTTTCAGGACATCAAATGTACACTTAAACCACCTCCATAAGACTCAAAAAACAATTGCATGTTTTCTTCACCCTTAGTTTGCAACGGGAGCTCTGGAGCATCGAGTATATGAGGTCCGGGAAACAGCCCTCCGGATCATCCTGGATATGTATCGGCAGCACCGAGCCATCATCCTGGATTACCTTCCTCCTGATGATGCCAACACACGCAAGAACATTCTGTACAAGACGCTTTTCGATGGGTTTGCTAAAATAGACGGCAAACTCACAGAAGCTGAAATAAGGGTAAGAAATGCAACTTTTTTCAGGTCTTGTGGTTTTCATAGGGGCTGTGCTGACAGAGGCAGGAAAACAATGGCCAGTTGCTGAAAACCACAGGAAGGGAGAGTGCTCTTGTGCCAGGATCCTGTTTGCCAGTTTCCTACAGATTAGCCCCTGTGAGAACAGGATGTTGGAGTAGATGGGCCATTGGCCTGATCCAGCAAGCTGTTACGTTCTTCTGTGTACAGATGGGTAGCCGTGTTGGTCTGCCATAGTCAAAACAAAAAAAATTCCTTCCAGTAGCACCTTAAAGACCAACTAAGTTAGTTCTTGGTATGAGCTTTCGTGTGCATGCACACTTCTTCAGATACACTGAAACAGAAGTTGCCAGATCCTTCTATAGAAGAAGTGTGCATGCACACGAAAGCTCATACCAAGAACTAACTTAGTTGGTCTTTAAGGTGCTACTGGAAGGAATTTTTTTTGTTCTTCTGTGTGTCAGGCTCAACCCATCAGGAAGGCGAAGTGAATGTCTCCAGGCGAATGTCTCCAGGTAGCAAGCCATAGAGAAAGCAGGCCTCCTGCTCCCACTGTTCGTTGGTGATGCCAGGTATCCATAGGTATACTCCCTCGGAGCTAAACAGCCTGTTCTCCATGAATTTGTCAAATCCCTCTTGGAAAACAGCCTTGAAGGCAGCAGCTTTCATCTTGTGGCCGTGTCACCATTGGCTTCTACCTCTGCTCTCTGACTGAGTAAATTCTGCAGGTTGGTAGACAGGTGCATTCAGACATTATCCCTGTCTTTGCTCAGTGTTCCTCCTTTTCTTTTTTTGATGCTGTGTAAGCTGGGAACTCACAGAATCCTAGTTCCAGAAAACAACCAGGCCAGTGTTGTTGGTGACTCGGGCCCCAAACCCAGCAACCTTCAACTGTGTGTGTTTTGACAGGCGCAGAGAAAGACGGCTACCGACGAAGCTGAAAAGCAAAAGAAAGACGAGATCAAAGTGTTGCAAGGTCAGCTGGCAGCTCTGAAGGACATGCAGACGGAAGCTCAGGCTGTAAAGGTATCTGATGGCCACCAAGGGTCTTAAAATGCTCTTCCGTTGCTTTATCCTTATGGATAGAAGGAAGTCATAGAACGTTTCTTTCATTCTCTCTCCCTGCCTTTTGAAATAGTGTAAGTCTTCCACCATTGCAGACTGAATGTGTATGCGTACCTCTGTCCCTCCTAGTCAAGCTGCTTTTGTGGTGCCTCATGTACTACCGGAAGCTGGTTGGTGGCATACAGCATATATAAAAACATAACAAAACATCAAACATTTAAAAACTGAATATCCTACCACTTCAAGTGCAAAAATATAACAACCTTTCTCCTCCAGGATTGTTGCATCATTGAGATCTTTGGAAGCCTCGAATGAGTAACATCATGCTTCCTTAAACTGAGCCAGACAAGGCTAGCCCAAAACATTCTTATCCAGTGGTTTCCATTCTTTAACTTTGGGGAAGAACTGAAGCCCAAGTGAATTGCATGCAGAAGGTCATTCCTCAATATGCCCAAGTAGGGCTGGGAAAGACCCCCGTCTGAAACCCTGGAGAGCCACTGTCAGTTGGTATAGACCTGGGGTGGGGAACCTTTTTGACTCCACAGGCCACCATCCTTATCAGGATCAGCCTTGTGGGCAAAAAAATAGGGCCACACACCTGCCAATCACCCAACATCCCAAGAAAGTCAAGTGCAAAGTGCTGTGGAAATGAAGGTTTTTTCTCTGTTTTAGTGAAGGGTTCCATAAAAACCCATTCCTGAATCAAACTCTGCCTCACAACACCAATAGCTTTTTGTGGTCTCGAGCAAAGAGATTTGTTATTTAATATCTTTTGTGGCTGGAAAGGGCAGGGACTGAGCCTGTGGCTTTCTGCATTTAGGAACATGTCTTTTACCAGATATGCCAACTGTCAGTCATTGGGCTTCTGCTATGGCTTCAGCCACTTCCTTCTCCTTCCTTTTAATTCATTGTTATTAACCAGATTTCTTCTTCAATTCCTCGGTTGCTGAACAAAGAAAAGGATTTCAGCTGGAGAGAGGGGACTGATCTGTGATGCTCCAGATGTTTCTGGAGTCCAGCTCCCATCATGCCTGGCCATGCTGGCTGAGATTGATGGGAGGTGGAGTCCCAACAACATCAAGGTTCCCTCCTGCATAAGCACTTACCTGGGAGCAGGTTTCCCTGAACTTTAGGCTGGCTTCTGTATAAACAAGTGTAAGAATGTACTGTGATTCTGTTTGCATTTTTGTTTTTAATTTATTCTACTTTTCTTCTTCAGGAGAAAGAGAATGATTTTCAGAAGTCCAAGGCTCAAGGTAGGCACTTTTTTTAAAACCCAATATCCTCTCATAGTACATGCCTTTTATAAATCGTATTTGTAAAACTGCATATTCAATTCATCTTGAGTCTTGGATTGCCGTGGGTCAGAAGAAGTCAGAAAGCTATGAGTTCAGTAAACAGATCTTAATGGGGATACACATTAGTTACATGTTAAGAGTATTTTAAGTGATGGAACAGAATTCCAAGTTGTTGTAGTCTGTGTGGTGTATTCTAAGGAAGAGGGTGGGGACATCCAAATTCCTCACTCAGGTAACTCAGGAGCAGGTGAAATTCCTGCCTTCCATACAAGCAACTTTTATTTTATTCTTACTTTATTCTTTTGCACAGATACTGCCTTGTTTGCCCTCTGTAGACAGGAGAAGGCCATTGCTGCAACATTGGAGGCTCATTTCACTTTCTCCTTTTCCAACGTGGCATATTCTCTCATCTGCCAGCAAGTGCCTTTCTGCCTTCAACAATAGTGGGCAAGGCTGATGAAAGTGTTGTAATCTTCCCAGCAATAAAATACATTGCACTCTGCAGTGCTTAGAAGATGTGACACACACACTCCCACCAGGTGCACTGCTGTCAGGGATGCCCTAAGCTAGCCTTTTGCAACCTTAGGTTTCCAGATGTTGCTGTACTCCCATCGGCCTTATCCAGCATGGCCCAGTTTGTCAGGGATGATGGGAATTGTAGTCCAACAACATCTGGGAACCCTGGGTTGGAAAAGGCTGTCCTAATGCATCCTCCGCTAACCCCTCCCCACAAAGTGTCCTTTTTCACTGGGAAATATATTTCAACACTGGTTCATTTCATTTCTTTTTTCTTTCCCTCCGCCTTCCCTTTATTTCCTTCTTTTTAAGCCGAGTTCTTGAAAAAAGCCCCACAGCCTCCAAAAGCAGACACTCCAGATGACCACACTTCAGTTGCAAATTACCTCGACAAGTAAGTAAGAAAAATATCAGTGAGCAGTTAGTTCCAGAACAGATAAATCGGGCTGAATAAGTCAGAACTGCCCATCTTTTGGCCGGATTTTTTTTTTAAGTTCTTTGCCCTGCTTCCCTCCTCTGCTGCAGCCTAATGGAACGGCCGCTGCCAAGTGATGAGACTGAAGGAGAAGCCTGGCTTCTCTGCAGAACTAGTGGTGGCCCTGCATCCCTCTTTATATTCTGCACCCCAGATTCAAATCCTGTGTTCATTGTACATTAGGCAAAAGTCGTTTGCATTTGTATAGGCCGACTGCCAATGCATTAGCTTGTCCAGTTTGCATTCTTTGCCATAAATCACCCTGCAGGTGCCTCCTTAACACAGTGGCAGGAAGTGAGATTTGACCACAGAGTGGAATATGCAGGACATAGATGTGCCCTGAGGCCCTCATTCTAAACCAAACCAGGGTGCAGGAGGCCCTGCAATCCCTCTGCCTTGACCTCTGCCCTCGTTGCTCTTCCCCAACTCCAGCCTCTGCATCTTCTGTGGGGAGAGAGACGAATCCTTCACAGAGGAAGGCCTGGATCTCCACTACTGGAAACATTGCCCAATGCTGACAAGGTGCGAGTTCTGCAAACAGGTGAGCCCCCGCCACGAACACGCGTTGTGCATTTTTGAGGGGACCTTGGATGTGTGCCACAGCAGGGACTGTGTTGGTGAGCCCTGCAGTAGCAGCCCAGAGATCTGAGAAAGGTTGGAGAGAGACATGGCTCCCCTTTGGTGCAGCATGTTGTGGTCCTGTCTATCTTTGCTGCTCTAGATGTGGCAGTCATTTTGTGTCATGCCATGCCCCTGTCCTGCAGTTGTTTTGGGACTGGGGCCTGCAGCACATTCTCAAAACTCCAAAATGTGCTTACTGGCCCAGAAAGGTGAGCAACCTCTGATCCTGTATCTGAGTTCATCCCATAGAATGTGGGTCCACTCCAGCCCATGCACGCTCGCTCGCTCTCTCTCTCTCTCTCTCTCTCTCTCTCTCTCTCTCTCTTCTGTACAACAGCAGAAGAGGTGGCATCCAGACCAGAGATGTGATTGGGAGGCAGGGTGTGAAAGGGCTGAGCTCCTGCCTATCCACACTTGCACCCTTAATCCCAGGTGCTGACAATTAGGGCTTTGGCATGAGAAACATTTGGCTCTTTAGGGAATTATAGGGACAGAACTACCCAAACTGTTTAGAAACTTATTTATGTATGCTACTGCAATGGCAAGAATGTTACTTGCCCCAAAATGGTAGGTGTCCCAGCAAAGGAAGAATGGATACAAAAAACTTATGGAATATGCAGAAATGGCGAAACTTACTGGAAAAATAAGAAATCAAGATAACAAACTTCTTATAAAAGAATGGAAATGGTTTATTGAATATTTACAGATAAATTGTAAACAGATAAGAACATTGGCAAGATTATTGTAATAACCTGCAATTTAATAAGAGTATATTTTTAAAGTAGATGAATAAATGAACAAATTAAGTTAATTTGGATACTGTATGCAGAAGATATTAAAAATAAATTTAGGGAACCACAGAAAGAGAGGGAAGGAAGCCAAGTTTTGAAATGTTAAAATGACTGTGAAATTATTGAAATGTATAAATCTGAAAATTATAAGTAAAATTTTAAAAAGAGACAGAGAGAGAGAGACATTTGGCTCTTGCCTCAGACTGTGGACGGTCCCCTTCCAGGTGGTTGAGATTGCCAGCCTGACGGAGCACCTGCTGACAGAGTGCGACAAAAAGGACAACTTTGACAAGTGTCCGCGCTGCTGCGAAGCCCTGCCGAAGGACGAGCTGCCTCGGCATGTCAAGGGAAAGGCCTGCAACCGTAAGGAAGAGGGGGGCTCTGGGTGGGCTGGCAGGGAGCAGACACAGCGGCCTCCGCCAACCAGGCCCCCTCCAGACATTTTGGACTCCCATCAGCCGAAGCCAGCATGAGATTGGGACATGCTGTCTGCAATGACATCTCTCTGCTTTCTCCTCTTTCCAGCTGCCAAGCCTGAAAAAGTGGCCAATCACTGTCCGTTGTGCCATGAGAATTTCACGCCAGGAGAGGAGGTGAGAGCCATCGCCCTTAACTCGGCCAGTCACTGCTTAAAGAGAGGGAAAGGAAGGGTTGCCCTTACAGGAAGGGTTATCCTCCAATCCTGGTTGACCAGATGAAGTCCGGCTCACCCAGCTAGAATTGCATAGCACCTTGCCCGTCTTGTTGTATTAGCAGCTTGACACAGCAGCAAGGCAGTGTGAAACAAGCATAGTGGGCAGCTTCACAGAAGTGCTCTCGATGCAGCTATAGCATCTCTCTGGCATGAATTCATCTTCCTATTTGGCTCCAGCTGCTTGATTTGGGCCCGTTTGATCCTGCCCTTTCACCATAGGTGGTTCTCTCCCGGCCCCCTTTTATCTTCCCAACCACCCTGCAAGGTGGGCCAGAGGTAGAGGTCACGAGAGCAGCGTAGCTGCCGCAGAAAGCAGAGACCCTGACTCTTTCACACAGTGCACAGTTAGACGGTGGTGTTGGCTGCCGGAAGATGCAGAGATGGACCCTAACTGTCCTGGCTTTAATGGCGGGGTAGACTCATAGAGGAGGCTAAGACAGTCAGTGACCCCTAGTCATTATGACCGTGCCCTTTGACCAATATTAGACACAATGTAGTCCCAATTACCTGGGTGTGGGGAGGCTATTGCATTTACTCCCTGTCTATCCATTTCCCAGAGACATCTGATTGGTGCTAGGCTGGATGCCCCTTTGGTTTCATCCAGCAGGGCTCTTTATTCCAGCACCTTACGTGCTGCATCTCTTCCCTACCCCCAGCCTGCTTGATTTCATTATCTGTGTGAAAGACCTGATTCCTTTTTGACCTTCTCCCCTCCTTCCTTTCCCCATAGGCCTGGAAGGTGCACCTCATGGGCAAAGACGGCTGCCGCATGAACCTGAGACGGGCCCAGTCCTTGAACAAGAGCCTGCCAATGCAGCCAGTTGCCGGTACGGCCTCCATTGTTGGTTTCACACAGATGATGCTTAGGCAGCAGGGTGGTGTCTGTTTGCCTCTCCAGAGCATGAGGCAGCTTTCTTCCAGCATCCGGACACCTACAGGTGTCCCTTTTGTAAAAAAACCATGGGAAGCTGAGACTCCAAGGATGTGTGTATGTTTTGTGTGGGAGACACATCTCCACACTCACCTGGGGAACCTGTGGTTGTACACTCAGCCCCGCAGGCATGAACGAGAGTGCATTGTGAACGAGGCGTATCCTGCAACAGCGCCTGCTTTCGTCTCTGTCTAAACTCAAACACTCTTCTCCCCCACCCCAAATTTTCAGGCAGGCCTGTCGGAGCACCTCTCAACCGATCCGGGCCGACGGGCATGAAGCTTCGCTCCCCATCGGTTGGCAGCAAGATCCCCACCCCACGAGGAGGCATGAATAAAAGCACTGGCAGAACGTATGCAAAGCGATGACGCGGATCTCTTCTTTCCTTTTGGCTCCACAACCGGCTGCACTTTACGCATCTCTCTCTAAGATTCTGCTTGCAGATAGCGGCGGTACCCTGCCTCACACTCCTCTCCTTCCCCAAGTGGCACAGTTATAAGCCAATTGCGTCTCTGTATGATTGTTTGGCTTCGATAGGTTGGTCCTCTCTTCCCTGGGGATTGTCCACACAGGTGGAGAAGTTGCACATCAAAAACTCCATCTGGTGGGTGCTCACTCCTTGACTGTGATCTCTTGCAGCACAAAAGCAGGGGAAAGAGGAAGCCTTGTCTAAGCCTTCTTACACCCTCTAGTTTCTGGGTCACTTTCTCCTTGCACTACAGGCCCAGGCACAAGGAGGTGGGTTCTTATGTTACATGGGTTGTCTGAATTTGGTGGGATTTGCCATGCCAGTCTTTCTCCTAGTTCTCCTAGCCCTGCCTAGTTCTCATAAGCATTTCTCTAGGCAGTGACTTACAGTCTAGGCTCAGCCTGAAGCATTTGCTCATGAGGTGTGTTCTACACATTAGGATCTGTTGCGTCTCCTGCTGCTCTTGCAGATTCCCTACTGGATTCTGTGGGGTTTCTGCAGGAGATGTTCCCCCCATAAGTCTGATGTGTCTGTCTCCCACTCTGCTGCTCTTATTGTCCCCCCCCCAAAAAAAAACTACCACCTGAGGCACCCTAGGAAGGCCATGCCTGTTCCTTGTTCATAATCAGATACAAAAAAAACACACAGATTTAAGCCCCACAAACTAGGCAGCCGGGCTGCCAACCATAGGCCTTTCTGCCCTCTTCCTGTCTGGTTGAAAGGTACATTCCTCACCCTATTTTCTAGAAAGTTTTGCTGATCCACCATCACCTCCAAATGCACATATGAGAGAACTGCAGGGGCCAATAAATATTGGCCTAAGAACCAGTTCGTGCCATTTGGGTGGTCTGGGGGGTACAGCTTTTGGCTGCCTGTTCCATTTCATCTTTCAAGTGGGGGGTAGAAGTGGGAATTGCATGCTTAAATGCTTGCATACTTTGTTAAAAAAAGAAACCTCTCCAATGTCAGAGGAAAGGGCTCTCACCTGGCCTTCTCCTTGACATACTAGAGTTTCTGCATACATCATGGATGGGCAGCTGATGGCCCTCCAACAGTTGTATCCAACCTAGTTCTACTCAGAGTAGACCCACTGAAAGCAGTGAGTTATGCCAATAAAGATCAACGGGACGCACTTTGGGTACAACCCCAGAGGTTGTGGGACTCCAGCTCCCATCAGCCCCAGCCCACAACGTTTGGAGGTCCACAGGCTCCCCATCCCTTGAATCCTTGGGATGTTTTCATTTTCAAAGCATTTAATTCCCCTACCTGCAGTCTAAACTACTGAAGTCCAACCAGAGCTGTCCCATTTGACCTATTTGATCATGTTCTGCTTGAAAAGATGGGGCAGACCAGAATCCCCTTCTCTAGAGCTCAAGAGGCAGTTCTAGTAACCCAGCACATGTGTGGGCACGGCACATTATGTTAAGAAGCAATAGGGGCGAGGGAAGAACCCAGAATCTTCGCTATGTGCAAAGCACTCTGGAAATGAGAACTGACAGGTGGTTGCAGTTCTTGCAGATCTAAATAATATATCAGCCTTGCGTTCCCAAACAGGGATTTTCCAACCTCTCTGGGAGGTTGTCCTCCCTCAGAGAGCATAGCATAACACTTTGGATGATAAAAGGATGCATCCATTAATGGGAAGGGCATTCCCATGTAATGGAAAAGTTTGAAAACCACTGGATCAGGTTAATGAAAATCCTTAACAACCTCAGGAATGTTAATCAAGTCATGAAAGGGTTTAGTTGCCATCCCATCCTTTGCTTTAAAGGATCATCTGAAAGGACAGCATTCTAAAACTTGTTCTGCTTCTTCTTATAAGATGTGTAATGGCTGATGTGGGATCTGCAGGCTTTTGAATTGTGCAAACTTCAGCAAGCAGAAAGAAAATCTTGAATCAGTGTGATCTTGCCTGAAATCAGTGCCAATGGCAGTGCTGTTTCTCTGCGAGTGACAGATGCAGTAGGAGACATACTGGTGGCACAGCGAGCAGTGGCAGCAGCAGGTATAGTGACGGCAACAGCAGTGTCAGGCAGCATTTCCCATTTTGCCTCAAGCAGTGAAACAGGATGCACTGCCCCTGGCTCAGTGTATGTGCAGATGTAACATACCTCTTTATTAAAAAATAATTTTAAAAGAGCTAGAGACTGGGCAGTGGGGAAAACGACCCTGCTGCCCTTCTAGCCCTGCTTATGGGCTCCCAGAAAGCATCTGGTGGGTGCTAAGCTAGATGGACTCCTTGGGCTGATTCAGCAGGGCTTTTCTTAGGGGGCTTTCATTCCTTTCCTTCTGCAAAAGACTCGCTTTAGCCTTCCTTTTCTAGTCCTCGCAGGTAGGAGCAGCAAACCTAGCACAGCAGAGGAAAGGCTTTTGATTGGGGTGGGACACTTCCAATTTTAGATGGTTGTGCTGTGCTACGAGGAGCATAAGTGAGCATTAAGCACTTTCACGCTTTCTGGCACAAATCAAACATGCCTATGGGCGCGCGCGCACACACACACACACACACACACACACACACACAGCATTCCCTTTATCTACTCACAAGCACGTCAAGTAAGAGTAAGGGACAGGTTGGTGTATTTATCACTCCACACACACCCACTGAGAGAGTTGAATAGAAAAGCTCTCTCCTGTCCACTTAAGTGGGGTCTGGGGGCCACTGTAACAGCTGTGGAACGTGCCCTGCACGTTCCACCTCCTTATCTGAGCCTCTCTCAACCCTGTTCCATCCCCCTAGAAGCTGCCATAAGTCAGGCTTTGTACTGGAACCTCTTGAAACCCTCAGCCGTGGCCCATCACAGGCCACAGATACGATGCTGTGGGTCATGATGCAGATGAGCTGCTGCTGAAAGGGGCAAATGGAAACACAGAAGGGGAGGGGAGGTGGATGTTTCCCCAAACAAAGGCCTGGATTGTCCTTTGGCTTGTTTAGGGCAGAACAAGAAGTTACATTGGCAAACGCAAGTTCCCAACCCTTTTGTCTGCTGAAGAACAGGAATCCTGGGGCAGGAGAGAAGCAGCCGGGGAGCCCACTTGCGCATGCACCCAGAACCCCTGTTCACTGCTTTGACCCAAACCAGACCTGTTTTGGATATAACAGGTAAAAAAGCCAGTGGAGGGGTGGGGTTGGGAGAACAGCCAGTGGAATACAGATTAAATACCCCTGCTTTTTTACCCCCGAGTGTCATCCCTTTTCCTGCATTCACATGCCTTCCTGTACACCTTCCTGTGTAATCACAGGATCTTGGTGACCTTGGCTAGAAATAACCGAGTTACCTCTAAGGAGGGAAACGTGTTTGCAGGAGCAAACTTCCAACGCAGGATATCTTTAGGTGCACAAGACGTGCGCTTGCCCTTCAGATTCCCCAATGTGGGGCCAAGGTTTGTTGCAACTCCCCACCAAGCCAGTCCAGTCAGAGGCTCACCTAAGGGAGCAGGCGCCAACACATCTTCAGTTGGGGTTTTCAAGACTTAAGTTGGATAGCTTGCCATGTTGCAACTTAGCCATGTTGTATGGTTTTGTAGGAAATGAGCAAATTGATGGATAGCAGGCCTGATTCCAGAGTTTTGCACTCCTTTTGTTACATCAACTTGCACACAGGTTTGTACTGCTCTGATAATAAAGGTCTATATTTCAACAAGGAGTGGCAGTGATTCTTTTTCTCTTTTTGAAATATATCTTTATTTCTGTGTTTATTGTGTTCTATATGTAGTCCACCGTTCCAAAGATTTGGTACTGGTTATGCTCTGCCCTGTCCTTGCCACCATAGCTCAATTCTATAATAAAAATATTAAAAATTGGACTGTTTAAAGAAAAGGCACACAAGCTCAGATTTGGGTGAATCTCCAGAGGAAGGGAATTCCACAGAGAAGAGCAGCTAAGAATTCTGCTTAGCCTCGTGGGTCTGATTTGTGCATAGAAGTTAAGCTTTGGGCAGCATTTTCAGCTGATGTTGAAGTCCGTAGCATAGTACAGATCAGGTAGTGCAGAGGTGGTCTGTGGACCTTTGATGATATCAGGTGGTCCACAACAAACTTGCAAACATTTGAGAGCATTGGTGTTTGGCTCAGCACTTGATTTATTTTACTGGACAACAAAGATCAAGGCTGTGTTGATCAGGGCCAAAATTTCAGGCTAATAAGGACTACTGACATGGCACTGATTTTTGACAATGATGCCAGCACTTAAGGAAAAAACATTTGTTTTTAAGCCAGATGAAAAATCTATGGCTTTTTAAATAGTATCACTTGTATATTACCTAGTTTTTATTGGTCACATTTTGTCAGCTGCATTTGTGTTTTTCATTGGATGCAATCTCTTCCTGTTTCATTATTATATTGGCCACAGATGTGCTGGTAAGGGTTTCACAGGATGGAGTTAACTGAAAGGTAATATCTGCTCCTATATAGTACATTATAGAACAGAGCTTCTCGTCCATTAAAAAGGGGGTGCATCTGTTCCATTAGAAAGGCAAGACTAGTTATTAAAATATGAGTTGGGTGTAAACTTTATAACATGTATGCATGTGCTTTGATGTGTACTACAACAGCAAAAGTTTGCTAAGTGGTCGGATGAAACACCCATCAACTTTCAAAAGACGGACTGGATGGATGGGACAAAATGTTTGGGAACCAGAAATCCTTGTCTGGAGATCCCAGAGAACCTCTGCCAGTCAGAGTAAAAACTATGTGCAATGGACAAACGATCTGGCTTGGCATAAGGCAGCCTTCTGTGTTCCTGTGGTCTTCCAGAGATTGGACTACAACTCCGATCACTGGTATCTCTGTGATCAGGCTGGAGGGAGTTGGAATGGAGCGACATCTGGATGGCCATAGCTGCCCAATCCCTGACATGGGCCTGAAGGCATTTTAAAAGATACATCCAGACTTATTGAACCGCTGTGTTTCATCACCTGCACTTTGAATTGGGCCCTGCATGCATCAGGGAGGCAGTTCAGATAGCCACCATTCGTCAGACACTTCTTCGGAGTACACAGACCACTCGGACCACATCTATATGGATAAACCACCACATAGAGAATCATAGAATGTGTTTTTGGCACTTTTAAATGAATGTTTTTTTCCACAAAATATATATATATTGAACTTTAATAACAAACATGGTTGATTTAAATTGATTGTTATGGCAATTGCAAATCAGCTCCTGGGTTAATACCAATCAAACAAAAGGAAAAGCGGGAAGCCTGTGATTGCCAGCTACCCTTTTAGGCGCACCGTTTCCGTTTAATTGACAGCCATAGAGTTTTTAGTATAGGGCGGTTTACATCCGCTGAGGGGCAACCTATGCAGACAACCATAAAGATACCATGGAAGTTGGATATTGGGCTAGAGCGGCCTCTTCATTTTATTACCGTGCAAATGAGAAACAGAAGCGGCAACTGGATGTCGCATATCTACATGCTTTTCATGTAATATTTTTACTTCTAAATTCTACATTTGAAAATGTAACGCGCTGGGGCCTGCTGAAGGGCAAGAAATAAATTTAAAACTACCATTAAATCTTTTTTAAGGATATCACCCATATTCGCCACACACACGACCGCCCGCTTTTCTGAGCCCACTTCATAAGACTATACAGTATAGGACATCTCGCCATTTCTCATTTTTTCCGCTATTGACGGCACAGGAAGCGGAAGCGCGCCTTGGACCGGAAGCGCGGTTGACGCCGGAAGCAGAAGCGGCTGTACCCAGCCGAGAGAAAGATGGCGGCGGCGGCGGTAGCAGTGGCGGGAGGGGAAGACGAGGACTGGCCGGAGGTGACAGAGTCCGGCCGGCGGGAGCTGAGCCTGGAGTCGGGCGCCGCCCTGGAGCGGCGTGTACAGGCCGCCGGGGGCCGCTTCCCGCGGGCTCTGGGCTCCCTGGGGGCGGCGCTGCGGTCGCTGGAGGTGCGCGGGGGCGGCTGCGCGGCGCTGCGTGAGCCGGGGCCGGTCCTGGGGCTCCTGACGGGGCTGCAGACGCTGGCGCTTCCCGGCTGCGCGCTGGGCCCGTCGGGGCTGACCCAAGCCGGGCGCCTCTTGCCAGCCACGCTGCGCACCCTCGACCTCTCCGGCAACGGCCTGGAGGAGCTGCCGGCGGAGCTCGGCGGGACCGGGGAGCCCCAGGTGGTGGTGGCGGCGGCGGGCAAGAAGGGCTCCCCTGCCGCCCTGCCTGAGCTACGTCTCCTCAACCTCCGCCGCAACCGCCTTCGCGAAATGGGGCCCGGCCTGGGTCGCTCCGCTCCGGCCCTCCAGGAGCTGCTCCTGGGCGGGAACCGCCTGCGCTCCCTACCCGGGGGGCTGCTTCCCATGGACGACGGAGGTGACTCCCGCCGCGCCGCCCCTTTAGCCTTGCTGGGCACCCTGGAGGCGGCGGGCAACGAGCTGGAGGAGCTGAGCCCCAACATCTCCCGCCTGGCCTGCCTCAAGGTAAAAGCCCCCAGTGCTTCCCAGTTTCTGCTTTTGTAATGAGATCATTAAACTATAGGAATAATGATGGAAAGGGGGGGGAAAGTTTTACAAATAAAGCAAAAGCAACTCTTAAAAGGCAGTAATAATACAAGACATAATTCAGCATGCATGAAGAATGATGACTGTTCAAGACATCAATGTTTCCTGACATGTCAATGATGAAAATTGTCCATCCCAGAGCACTGCTTGTTTGCTGCTGCCATTCACACATAAAAATCTAGAGGTTGTCAGGAATGGGTGTGGAGCCCTATTATGAATGCTTGAATAGCGCTGAGGTTCCTGCAATATACGGAACAGCAAATGACCAGAGCAGGGAATGGGGTCACTGGCAGATAATTTACTTTGCACGCAAAAGGTTTCATGTCTGAAACCAGAGAGCTGCTGGCAGTCAGTGTAAACAGTGCTGAGCTCGATGGACCAGTGGTCTGATTTGGGATGGCAGCTTCTGTACTCACATTGGCTTGTGAGTTTTTATTGATAGGCAAAATGTTTTCATTGCTGTCCGTCAGTAGACAGAACTTGAGATAACTCATCCAGCGTATGAATTAGAAGACAACCACTTAATATACTTTCTCCCCCTAGACTTTGGATGTTTCCAACAACAAATTATCGGAAATCCCTGTGGAGTTGGCTGACTGCCCTAAGCTGAAGGAAGTCAATTTAAAAGGAAATGCCCTCAAAGACAAACGGCTTGAGAAGATGGTAAATGGTTGCCAAACAAAATCTATCCTGGAATATTTGCGTGTCGGGGGTCGAGGGGGCGGCAAAGGAAAAGGCAAGCAGGATGGTGCTGAGAAGGAGGAGATGAGGAAGAAAAAGAGAGATAAAAACAAGAAAAAAGGCAGTGATGCAGAGGATGAGGTGGAAGAAACCCAGAAGCTGCTGGTGAAAGTTCTCCATATCTCTGAGAATCCAGCTCCATTGGTTGTGAAAGCCAGCCCTGGTGTCAAAGACGTCCGCCCCTATATTGTGTGCTGTGTAGTGAAAGGCATGAACTTCAAGCCCGGCAATGCTTTGAAGAGGTTTCTTTCGGTTCAGGTAAGGTTTGAAAAATGATACCACTTGGTTCTGGGCATGGCCCAGCTTCAGGGGGGATGTCCTTTGATTCAGTTAGTTGTAGATTAGGTTTCCCCAAGTAAAGATAAACCTCCCTCTCAGAACTGAAATGGGGGGCAGCCCTACTTTGAGCACGGTGGAAGGGAAAGCAAAAGGGGCATCTCCAAGCCCAGGCATGCAGGTGGTACCTTTGCCTCCCACTAGCACAGGACAGTTAAGGATGTATGGCTCCCCTGATCAGAAGGAAGTAGATCCTGGGGGGTCCTTGCCTGCCCTTAGTGTGGTAGAGGAGAAAGGGCCAGATTGTTACACTCTGTGGAATGCCCTCCCATCAGATGTCAAGGATTTGAGTAACTATATAACCTTTAGAAGACACCTGAAGGCAGCCCTGTCTAGGGAAGCTTTTTAATGTGTAATGTTCTATTTGCTTTTATATGTTGGAAGCTGTCTAGAGTGGCTGGGGCAACCCAGTCAGATGGGCAGAGTACTGATGATAAAATTGTTGTTGTTGTTAGCACACTCCTTAAAGTTAAGCCTGTTGTTGTGACTCTTCAGCACAGCCTTGTTTTAATGACACATCTTACACTTCAGACCAAACTCCACGAGGACATCTGCGAGAAGCGAACAGCAGCCACCATCGCCACACATGACCTGCAGCTTGTGAAAGGTCCTCTTCTCTACGATGTTCGGCCGCCAGATGAATTGAAGGTAGGCTGACAACACCAAGATTAGAAAGCCTTTCAGAATGATACCCCACAAAGGGACAGCAGCAGGCAGCTGGTGCTCTGGTGCTGTTGTGCATGATGGTTATCTGAAAGACAAACCTGCCCAGCCTCTGAGATCTTCAGGGGAGATGTTCTCTCAGTCCTGCCACCCTTACAAGCAGGCTTATTGGGGCACGGGAGAGTGCCTTCTTAGTGGCTGCTCCCAGGGTTTGGAACTCTCATCCAAGAGTAGCTAAACTGGCTCCCTCCTTGGCTTCCTCCCACCAGCTATTGAAGACTTTCTTATTCCAACCGTTTGGGAACTGAGTGTTTTTTTTAACGAAATAACTTTTAAATAGTGCTGTGCTCTTTTTACTGTCTGTATTTTAATAGATCTGCTTTTATACTGTTCTAATT